CTCGAAAACAATGAATTAGAAGAAAGAAGGGTCAAAAGTGGGTGTCAACAATGGTCTAGAAGTCTTTGATGTGGGGAACAATGCTATAAATGACACGTTTCCAGCTTGGCTCAGAACTCTTCAAGAGCTGCAGGTCCTCATATTAAAGTCGAACAAGTTCCATGGACCTATAAGTACGTGTCAGACTAAGTTTTGCTTCCCCAAGTTGCGAATTTTTTATCTTTCTCTTAATGATTTCAGTGGCTCACTTCCTGCAAAAGTTTTTGGACACTTCAAGGTGATGATTAAATTAGATGGTGACGACACAGGAAGGATCAAGTACATGAATGAACCATCTATGTTGAAATTGCAAGTTGACCCATCTTATGAGGATTCAGTGAGTTTGGTAATGAAAGGGCATGATATTGAGCTACAAAGAATCAGCACAATTATGACAACCATAGATCTCTCAAGCAACCATTTTGAAGGTGTCATTCCGAAAACACTAAAGGACCTCAGCTCACTTTGGCTTCTCAATTTATCCCATAACAATCTCATAGGTCATATTCCAATGCAATTGGGGCAATTGAATACACTTGAAGCTTTAGATCTCTCCTGGAATCGGCTCACTGGAAAGATTCCACAGGAATTGACAAGAATGAACTTTCTGGCATTCTTAAACGTTTCTCAAAATCATCTCGTCGGACCAATTCCCCACGGTCCACAGTTCAACACATTTGAAAATGACTCGTATGGTGGAAACCTTGATTTATGTGGTTCTCCTTTATCAAAACAATGTGGAACAAGTGATCCATCACATGTTCCTCAACCTTTGGAGGAAGAAGAAGAAGATGAGTCATATTTTTTTATTGGATTTACGTGGGAATCAATAGTCATAGGCTACAGTTTTGGACTAGTTGTTGGAACTGTCATGTGGAGTCTCATGTTTAAATATCGTAAGCCAAAATGGTTTGTGGAATATTTTGATGGACTCATGCCTCACAAAAGAAGAAGGCCAAAGAAGAGAGTTCAGAGATGAAGGACTTGATGGAAGATTGGTTATTTTCCATCTCTTCATGTTTGAACTGTATCATATAGATGGAATTTCCCTCATTAACTTAATGTGAAAAGTCTTTTGAAATACAGCACAAGAGACAACTAATCGGAAATTTCTCTGCAGGTGGAATGATCTTCACCAAGTTATTCAAAACATACTAATTAAGCAGGAAAACACATATCAAACAAAATTTTGTATGAAATTCCACAAGGAGGAAATGAAGGACTTAAATCATGTCTTTGATTATTATTCCATTTTTTCCTCACTTGACTTAGTCAAGCAATAGTTTCTACCATTTGAAATTTCTAAGAAGTTCTGCAGAAAATTTTTCTACATAATGGGACCAATTTCACATCATCTTGCGTAACACACACTACAGAGATAGTTAATGACTTCGAAATGAACACAACATCTAGAGAAAATTAGGACATAGAGAGTATTATTTTGTTAAGTCTTCTCCGTCCTCTAATAAGTCTTGTGGAACACTACAAAATATGAGTAACAAGTTGTTCGAAGTGAGTAGTACCCATCTTGTAATTCAATTGTTCATCAGTCCCGATTTATCATAATCTTTTTTTTTCCGTCTAGTCTTTGTGGAAATTGGCTTAAAGTCTGACAAGTCATCGTCCGCTAGTTACAATACTGTATCACTATTTTCCTTAGGTGGAATGGAATATTGATGGATTTTCCCTTATTAACTTAATGTGAAAATTATTGTGTACCGAACAAGTTTGAAAATAGCAGAAGAGACAACTAATCACTCACCCGGATTGACCTTTGCTGATTGTATAGATTTCTTGGAAAAATTGCACCAAAATTTATTTTATCCTCAATTGACTTGGTCATGCAATAGTTTCTCTCTTTGAAAAGTATTGTGGAAAACAGAAGAAGAGATATTGATGGAAAGTTGGACAAGGTTGACATAAAACAGGAGTTCAAATAACTATAAATTATGTATGGATTTTGTAAAAACAGAACATTCTGTAATTTGCTGTAAACAAAAAGTAATTCCCGTGACCAGTTCAGTTCAAGGTTGGTCACGGGAGGGTTGAATAAAAATCACTTGAAAGTTGTTAAGGGGGTATTTAAATGTCCATGTAGTTTAAGTCCTGAAGTAAATTTGGCTGTCAAGTTTGAGGGTGATTTTAGGATTTTTCTCAAAAGTTAACCAGTCAAATTGAAAAAAGTGTTCAAATAGGGAAAATATGTAAAAAGTGTTATTTGCCATCTCTTCCTATTTGAACTGTATCATATAGATGGAATCTCCCTCATTAACTTAATGTGAAAAGTTTTGGAAAACAGCACAAGAGACAACTAATCGGAAATTTCTCTGTAATAGTTATTCCAAACATACTAATTAAGCAGGAAATGAAGGACTTAAATCATGCCTTTAATTATTGTTCATTTTTTCCACTTGACTTAGTCAAGCAATAGTTTCTACCATTTGAAATTTCTAAGAAGTTCTGCAGAAAATTTTTCTACATAATGGAACCAATTTCACATCATCTTGCATAACACACACACTGCAAAGATAGTTAATGACTTCGAAATGAACACAACATCTAGAGAAAATTAGGACATAGAGAGTATATTATTTTGTTAAGTCTTCTCCGTCCTCTAACAAGTCTTGTGGAACACTACAAAATATGAGTAACAAGTTGTTAGAAGTGAGTAGTACTCGTCTTGTGATTCAATTGTTCATCAGTCCCGCTTCATCATAATCTTTTTTTTTTCCTCTAGTCTTTGTGGAAATTGGCTAAAAGACTTACAAGTCACCGTCCGCTAGGTACAATACTGTATCACTTTTTTCCTTAGGTGGAATGGAATATAGATGGATTTTTCCTTATTAACTTAATGTGAAAATTATTGTGTACCAAACAAGTTTGAAAATAGCAGAAGAGACAACTAATCACTAACTCGGAATATTGACCTTTTATGATTGTTTAAATTCCATGGAAAAATTGCATAAAAAATTATTGCATTCATACATGGTTTCACTTGATTAAAGTTTCTCTTTGAAAAGTATTGTGGAAAATAGAAGAAGAGATGTTGATGGAAAGTTGGAAAAGGATGACTTAAAATAGGATATATATCTATTCATCTATTCTATACTATCTTAAAAAATGTTGAATTACTAAAGTATTTTCAACTTATATTTATTTATTTAATTTAAAATATAGTGCTACATGATTTGGCATTCACGTGCATCAAAACTAGTACTACCTTAAGAATATGAACTCTCTAACTTAAATGTTAAATTACTATAATACCCCAACTAAAAATACTCAATTTAGTATATCTTCTATAGTTTATATTTATACTTATTTATTTATTTTTTTATATTATATTAAAACATATTTTTTTCACATTGAAGGGTTGTAACTTTCCCGATGAATTGTGACTTTTTCAAATAATTGTGACTCTTCTAAAAGATCAGTTGCTCTATTATGATCAGAATTTTTGTTGTGGATATTGATATTCCTTTTTTAAACTGAGAAAAATGTGTAGACTCACACAAAAAACTGAAAATGTCTACTACTCCACTTGAACTGTATCATATTTGTCCTTTTTCCCACCTGTAGTCTTTGTGGAAATTGGCTTATTAAAGACTTTGGCTTAAAAGAACAAAATAAAATTCCACACGGTATTATTGTTTTGTTGTTACATAGGAGGAAATGAAGGACTTAAAATCATGTCTTTAATTATTCTTCATTCTTTTTTTCCTCACTTCATAACTTAGTCAAGCAATATATAGTTTTCTCTCATTGGAAAATTTTCTCACAACTTATGCAGAAATATTTTCTACACTGTGTTACGTAACATGATCAATTTCACATCATCTTGCGTAACACACATCGTAGAGATAGTCGATCAATGATCTCGAAATGAACAACAACATCTAGGGAAAATGATGTGTAACAAGTTGTTAGAAGTGACTAGTACTCATTCATGGACCACAAGTGACTGAAAATTGACTTAACACTTGGGACAACTTTTTCTGCAACCACAAATTAGTACCCCATTTTATTTGTCTGGATGTGTTTCTTTTCTTTCGTTAATTTATAGTCCCATGCATAAACAAGTCAACAACGCTACTTTATGAAATATTGTTTTGTTAATTGTTCACTTTATTTAATGTGGAGTTCGTTGTAATAATTAAGAAATGGAATAATGTTTAGTTAATTATAGCATTCTTTCTTACGTGACTATTTATTTTATTGACTTATTATTATATCTTGGCAATTATCATGAACCCATTACGTTTACCATTTTTATTCTTCTTTCTATTTTTATTCTTTCATTATTAAATATTCTAAAGTCTACCAAACTAAAAAACCTTTTGCATTATACAAAATATATTGTTGGGTGTTAATAAAAAGATCAATTTGCTTTTTGGTGTATTCTTTAAATTACAAGCACTACAACAACAAAAAAAATTAGCGGCAATAAATATACACATTAATAAAGAGTGTTAAAGTTTTTACCAGCATTGGTTAAGTATCATTAGATCCAATGTAGCTAAAAACTTTAGAGACATGTACAAAGAAGGTTAATTACCGCTAAAAATACATTATATCATTATATCAACTTATCAAACTCAGCTCAACTATTTCAATATCATTGTATATAAACTTGTTAAAGTTTTGAGTAAGATTTTATTATTCTAACTTTATATTATATCTTTCATTGAAAATTTTCGTTGTTTGTATTCTTACTTCATAAAGGTCTGTGTACCTCGTACTTCCTTGAAACTCTATTCAGTATGTTATAAGTATTTAATTTATGTATGACAACTAAAAATAAATAAATTAAAGGGCCTTACATTAATGTTTTCATAGAATTTTGATTATTCTTACAAATCTATAAAAATTTACATAGGACACTTAGAAACTAGTATATATATGTGTGGATAATACTGATTGATTTGTAAGAAGAACACATCCATCCTGTTATTTGGTGAAAACAAACAAACAAAAAATGGTCATGAGTCTGTTTTTCTTTTATTCATTTCTATGTTTTGTGTTTTTAATAAGTCGATGCTTTTCTTCATCCTTTGATCATCATCTTTGCTCTCCCACTGAAACTTCCTCTTTGCTTCAGTTCAAACAATCCTTTCAAATTATGTCTGAAGAGTACTTTAATTATTGGTGTTATGAAGATTTTTTCCCAAAAACAAAGTCTTGGAATGAGAGTAGGGATTGCTGCAGTTGGGATGGAGTCACTTGTGACTTATTAAACGGTCATGTTATCGGGTTAGACCTTACTTGTAGTCTGCTTCGTGGAAGTATTCATCCCAATAGCACCCTCTTCCAACTTCATCATCTCCACACACTAAACCTTTATGGCAATGACTTCAATTATTCTTCAATCCCACATAACATTGGCCGATTGAGGAATTTGAGGCATCTCAACCTTTCTAATTCTTTCTTTAGTGGGAAAATCCCAACAGAAATCTCATACCTTTCTAATTTGGTTTCACTTGATCTTTCTTCTTATTTTTATGGACTACAACTTGATGAGAGAACATTTGAAGCAATGTTTCAAAACTTCACAAATCTGGAGGTACTATCTCTCTTTCTTGTCAACATCTCATCTCCGATACCTGTGAATATTTCTTCCTCCTTAAGGTACCTGGATCTTGGTTATACTAATTTGCGAGGTGTTCTCACAGAGAGCTTTTTCCTTCTGCCAAACAGCTTGGAAATGCTCTATTTGAGATTCAATGATCTTCTCAAAGGAGTTTTTCCAAAGATCCACCGGAGCAACACTCTGTTAATGGAGTTGGATATTTCATACACAGGCATCTCTGGTGAGCTGCCTGATTCAATTGGCGCCTTCAGTTCCTTGAATATCTTGAACCTCCATGATTGTCAATTCTCTGGTTCCATTCCCGATTCCATAGGCAACCTAACCAGAATTACGGAGTTGGCTTTGTCTTATAATCATTTCACCGGCCATATTCCTTCCACAATCTCTAAATGGAAGCACCTCACACGTTTGGATCTTTCTGACAACTCCTTTTCAGGTGAAATTCCTGATGTTTTCTCTAACCTCAAAGAGCTACGTTATTTACATCTTTCTAGTAACAGCTTCATCGGTTTGTTTCCCTCTTCAATTTCAAACTTGACACATCTTCAACGGTTAGACTTGTCGAGTAATTCCTTATCTGGCTCACTTCCTAATAATGCGAGCAATCTTCAAACGCTAACCCAACTGGATTTGTCTGACAACTCGCTGAATGGTACCATACCATCTTGGGTGTTTAACCTCCCTTTGGTACATTCATTGTCGCTCCATTATAATCAACTCAGCGGTTCTTTTCCTCAATCACTTGTGAATCTCACAAACCTTAAAACCCTTGACCTTTCATCAAATAACATCACCATTGATGAGGGAATGAATATCACCTTTCTTAGCCTATCAACTTTATTCTTATCATCTTGTGAGCTGAAGCATTTTCCATACTTCTTGAGAAATGTAAAGACACTTGCGTACTTGGATATTTCTAACAATAAGATTTGTGGTCAAATCCCTAACTGGTTTAGCGGCATGAGGTGGGACTCGTTGCAGTTCCTAAACCTTTCTCATAATTCATTAACAGGCCACCTACCACAATTTCGTTACGATAACCTACTGTATCTTTGTAACATCCGGCAATACGAAATAATTGAAGAGGCTTAGAATTGGAAATTTTCATTTTTGGAAAGAATTTTAAAGTTTTGGAAATTTTGGCTAAGTATGGAAAATGTGAATTTTTGGCCAACTTTGAA